TTATATGTGAAGGTGAGGACTGACTAACTAGTGAGGCTTTTATGAGTATAGGTGAGAAAGTTAATGGATATTTATTGCTCAAGAAATGTCAATTGGTTGGTTCAGAAGAACAGTTGACACCGAAGCTTGCATTAAATTTCACCTGCCCAAGGTTGGGAAAACAAGCTACATTTAGTATTGTTAAATGGACTTATTTGAAAATGGAACTTAACCTTGGTAGTGTTTGTGTTAAAAATCCCCATTTTCTTGTAATTTAAACTATTACAAGTCCTTCCAACTGGTTATAGAAAAGGAAATTGTTAGGCTTATTACATTTTTATACCATATTGTGTACAACTTCTCCAATAGAGGTGAGCCTCATTGTATTGGTGAGTTCCACCTCTATTAAAAAAGTGGTACACAATGTGATATAAAAATGTGGTAAGCCTAGCATTATCTTATCGAAAATAGGGTCCTTGTCTTATCCAAATTGCAATCTTGGACGAATGTTCAAAATTGGTCCACACCACACTGTTTTTTTAACCAACTTTTTAGATAATTAAATAGATATATATATTAATTAGTGTAGTGATATTTTCTTTTTAATGTTGTAAAAGATTTCAAGTATGAATCTATTGAGTTAAAAATAAATTCAATTGACAAAATAAATAAAAAATACTCTGTTCTTCTTTCTTTATTTTACGAAATTTAAAATTAAACTGACACACGAAGCCTACCTATTTGAAGTTTTGTTTTTTGTTCCCTATTTTTGAATTAGAGTGACCAAATCCATTTGCTAGACGGGATAAGGTGTTTTTTTGCTGATTCTTTGTCGCTCTTTCTCAGGATTAGGCTATGCCTGTCTGCACTATCTGAACACAAATTGGTTTTGTTTGCGATTATATATGCTGGGGTATTTGGTTAATTGCCAGAAATAAATGCGTGATGCAAGGGGAGTGTGAACAGGCTCCAGTACTTTTGGGACGGATGCAGTGCAGGGAGTGGACAAATGAGCAAATGTCATAATATTTGAATCCATAGCCTTCTACAACAAAGTGTGTAGACCAAATGAGCAAATGTCATCATGGTCATTTTAGTTTCTGCATACTTTTGACTATCAAATACTGTCACATACATTAAAGATTGAGTATAAATTAAACATTCCTGTGGATCGGTACATCTAAAGTGAAATATTCTCCGATTTCATACTTGATACACCTTATTTCATATGTATTTAAGATAATTTCAGTACTTAATTAGAAGAAACTGTCAAGAAAGACAATGAAGTATTAGGGATCACACTATCACCCTTATTACCTCAAAGCGCTACATTTGACAGAAAAAAATTAGAATTGCTTCCACATCGACCGCATATTACCTCAAACAGATACCAAGAAGCATTGCCTATCTATGGACACCATAAACACCTATATTTGCTTTGCAAATATATATAATAAAACATACAGGTATAAACATCATGCAAGAGCTGAATTGTCCTCCCCTGTTCTGTGTGGAAGTAGGTATCAATTCACCTTTCACAACTGAACCTAATTTTCCATGAAAATCTTAAAACCCAAGAAAGTCTTTGCCTATTACAAACCAAACAGACTAATCAGTTAAGTATATTATTGCAATGCAGGATCAATTGACAATGTTTGCCTAAAAACTAACTCCTTGGTCCTTAAAATAAAAGCAAACACAAATTACAAATTTTCCCAGAAAGAAGCTTACAATTGACCCTTGGAATATGAAAAATCTTGGGCTACTCGGGGGTCTCTCCTTGTTGAGGTGTTCTACAATTTCCAATGTGCAGCTAGATACTTCAGATATCCGGTAACTACAAATACAAATACACAGTTTTTGAATACATGAAAGGTAGGTTCGTCAACTTCTCTGGTAAACCCTCCAATCCATAGAGAAAGGAACATGACAGTGGAAGGAACGTGACAGTTTGTAGCATACTTCGTGATAGAACAGATTTTTCCACCAGGGATTCGAGCGAGCAAAACAGAGTTGCAAGATTCCAGCCCAGGACAAAAGGTAGGTTCCTCCCCTTAAATGTTTTCCAATTTGCCTTTGAATGTTAGTACATTTCCCCTTGCCCACAAAAGAAAAAAAAAAAAAAAAAGTTAGCACATTTCCCTGCACCCAGGCATATTCAATCCATATCATAACTTTGCCTCTCTCATCCATGCCCTTCTCACTGTATCAGCTCGCCTCAAAACCCCAAAAAGCAAAAACAAAAATACCACTTTCAATTCTAGAAAAAGAAAAAAAGAGCATAACATTTGTTCATGCAAAAAGTATTTGATTCAAGACCGCATCAGTTGAAAAGTACTGGATTCGGGCCACACAGGTTTCAAAGCAAGATTTGTTGAGACGGAAACAAGGTGTATGGCACGATGCAGGCATGAGTTTCTACCAGAATTCCAACTCTGCCTATAGGTCAAACATAACACCAAAACAACTTAGCAAAAACTATACAAAATAAATTCCAACTTTCAACATATCATAGTACAAAGCTTGCAACTATCATCTATAAATTGTAACAGAAGATTGTTTTACCCAATTCCATTAAGGAAGACTTGGACACCATGTGTGGTTCACACTCTATGAACTGCAACTATCACCTAGAGCAAGACTTTCTTCGTGCTCTGTAGAAAGACTTGGTAAATACTCTATGGTGTCCAATAGACAGTTTCAATTTGATTGTTTCATCTATAAACTGCAGGTACTCGACAGTCCATTAAGAAAGACTTGGTAAATACTCTAGGAACAGGGGAGGGGGCCTCTCTTCTCTCCTCGAACAAGAAAAATGACAAGGGTTCAACACTTTCAAGATTCAAATTAAATCCCACACTACTAATAGAGAAAATCTCCATGATCCCACATTAAATCCAGTATGTTTCAAATTGCTTGAAGGTTATATCAATTACAGACAAGAAATGGGTTGACATGCCAAACCAACAAAAGTTATACACACATCCCGGCATTAGAGAACAGGGTATGTCATAACAATATTGGTACTGAAACTGATGCTTAAGACGCTAATATTTGTCACCGGTTATCACAGCACTCAAAGAATATGCTAAAAAATGTAGGAACAAAATCTGAAAAGTCCTGCATGTTTGCATCAACTACACGGGCATTCCTTCATTTCCTTCTTCTTTGTTCTGTTTCAATTAAGTTGTTACGATGCAAATAAAATCTGCTCTATATCAATATCTCTCTAGTACTCACCTCCTCAGGCCCTGGAAGAAAAAAAGAAAAAAAAAGCGAAATTGCTCAGCGTTATCAACTTCATATAATAGAAATACTGAAATTAACAATGCACAAGAATATTTACTCAGACTAGACACATTACATTCATGAAAGAAGAATTCTATAGCAATCATTCTAAACGTGACATTTTATTGAATATTGCACCTTTTCTTAGTCATAGATTTGCCAAAGCCCCAGCTGTATAGGATGATCCAAAGAATCTGTTTTGTCTTCTCTTATTCACCTTGTCACCCTTCAATATTTGCCTCTCCAGATAGAGCGCTGCATTGGGTTTTGAATTTTCCACCTATCCGAACAAGAAAGGTGCATTCCAGAAAGTTGACTAACATGATACCCTGATGTTCAACTATCAAATAGGAAAAACGGTTCACAAAGAACTCCACCAGCACGAGGCAGAGGTTGACGGAGAGGCCAGAACAGAAGTCAACCAAGTTCAGCCCTCGATCCGACCAAGGAGCTTAATCATACTGTTGGAAAACGACATGAGGATTGCGGAGTATCATCTGCTAATAAGGACTCTGGTTCATCTTTCTTTCCCCTTCTGTTCTCAAAACCAACCAATGTCATTAGCGTGTCGATATATAAGACGGAAAGCTGACCCTGCAATGCCATTGCAAATACTAGTTAAGGACAGCACTCAATTTGCTGATAAGTATATAAAATAAAAATGGATCAGCATGGTCAATTTCCAGATAATCATATAACAGAGTACTGAAATTGAATCCACTTAAGATAAGCAAAGCGCTACGTTTGACAGAAAAAATTAGAATTGCTTCAACGTAGAACACATATTACCTCGAACAGATACCAAGCATTGCCTATCTATGTACACCATAAACACCTATATTTTCTTTGCAACTATATATAATAAAACATACAGGTATAAACATCATGCAAGAGCTGAATTGTCCTCCCCTGTTCTGTATGTAAGTAGGTATATCAATTTGCCTTTCACAACGGAAACAAATTTTCTATGAAAATCTTAAAATTGTGTTATGCTTTTAAAACGTTCTTGGGCACCACTTGTATGTAATGTAATTTTGTTCTTCTATAAGCCCAAGAAAGTCTTAGCCTATTACAAACCAAACAAACTAATCATAAGTATATTATTGCAATGCAGGATCAATTCACAACGTTTGCCTAAAAACTAACTCCTTGGTCCTTATTTATCACAGAAAATTGCACAATAAAATAACAGCAAACACAAATTACAGATTTTTCCCCAAAAAAGCTTACAATTGACCCTTGGAATATGAGAAATCTTGGGCTACTCGGGCGTCTCTTCTTGTTGAGGTGTTCTACAGTTTCCAATGTGAAGCTAGATACTTCAGATATCCATAACTACCAATACAAATACACAGTTTTTCAATACATGAAAGGTAGGTCCGTCAACTTCTCTGGTAAACCCTCCAATCCATAGAGAAAGGAACTTGACAGTTTGTAGCATATTTCATGATAGAACAGATTTTTCCACTAGGGGTTCGAGATAGCAAAACAAAGTTGCAAGATTCCAGCCCAGGACGAAAGGTAGGTTCTTCCCCTTAAATGTTTGTTTTCCAATTTGCCTTTGAAAGTTAGTACATTTCCCCTTGCCCACAAAAAAAAGAAAAAAAAGTTAGCACATTTCCCTGCACCTAGGCATATTCAATCCATGCCATTCTCACTCTATCAACTCGCCTCAAAACCCCAAAAAGCAAAAAACTAAAAATAAAATACCACTTTCAATTCAAGAAAAATAAAAAACCACTTTCAATTCAAGAAAAATAAAAAAAGAACATAACATTTGTTCATGCAAAAAGTTCCATACCTCAACAGTTGAAAAGTACTAGATTCGGGGCCACACAGGATTCAAAGCAAGATTTGTTGAGACAGAAACATGAAGGCGTGTGGCACAATGCAGGCATGAGTTTCTACCTGAATCCCAACTCTGCATATAGGTCAAATATAACACCAAAACAACTTAGCAAAAAATATACAAAATAAATTCCAGCTTTCAACATATCATAGTACAAAGCTTGCAACTATCATCTGTAGATTGTAACAAAAGATTGTTTCACCTGATTCCTATGATACTGCAGGTACTCGACAGTCCATTAAGAAAGACTTGATAAATACTCTAGGAACAGGAGAGGGGGCCTCTCTGCTCTCATTGAACATGAAAAATGACAACGGTTCAACACTTTCAATTTTCACATTAAATCCCACACTACTAATCGAGAAAATGACCATGATCCCACATTAAATCCAGTATGTTTCAAATTACTTGAAGGTTATATCAATTACAGACAATAAAAGGGTTGACATGCCAACCAACAAAAGTTATGCACGCATCTCGGCATTAGAGAAAACAGAGTATGTCAGAATATTATTGGTACTGAAACTGATGCTTAAGACGTAAATATTTGTCACCGGTTATCACAGCATTCAAAGAAACAATGAACTCCACTCCACTTCATTTTTTGTCCTTGGAGATGATGAATATACAAAAAAATGTAGGTTCAAAATCTGAAGAGTCCTGCATGTTTGCATAAACTACATGGTACAACAGAGAGGGCATTCCTTCATTTCTTTCTTATTTGTTATGTTTCAATTAAGTTGTTATGATGCAAATAAAATCCGCCCCATATCAATCTCTCTCTACCCACCCCCTCAGGCCCTGAAAAAATAAAAGAAAAAGAAAAAGCGAAAATGCTCAGCCTTATCAACTTCAAATAACAGAAATACTGAAATTAACAATGCACAAGAATATTTACTCAGACTAGACACATTACCTCTAAACAAGTGGTGATAAAGAATCCACAAATACCGAGAAGCATTGCCTTGTAATGAAAGGGTACCTGCTCAATGACAAACAGCATGCCTAAGAAAATATTTATAAATACCGATCATGGAGTGATAAATACCTATAATTGTAATTCTAATCAAACATAGTATAGAAATCCCACTAACAGAGTATTTTGAATATATCCTTGATACTTTCCGCAATTCTTTATAAAATCAGCAATTAAAAAACATCTTACGGCTTCCTTTGAAGTCTTTCCCCATAAAAGAGAAGATTATATTGGAAATAAGAGACGAGCCCATTAGAAGACAAGTGGGAGTGGGAGTTTGAAAAGCTTACATTTCTTCACTGTCAAAGTTGGAGCTATTACGAATTCATTGTACGCATAGAGTCAATCTGTCTGCTGTCTGGTCACACAACTGATGACAAGAAAAAGGAAAAGGATAAACAAGTCTCATTCCTTTCAGAAATTATTCAGAATGAATAAACTCTAGTTAAACCGAAAGGTGAAGAATGAAAAGGAATTTTGATTTCAGGAAAGAAGAAATTACTGCGGATATCTGGAATGTGAGAAATCTTGGGCCACTCTGGGCCGCTGTCCTTGGTGCATCTTTCCTTCAGAAGGGGGCATTGCCAAATTTGTAGCCGTCGTAATTCGGTGAGGCGTTGCATAGCTTCGACACTGGGTAGACACTTGAGATTCTTGCAACTCCAAATATCTAGATTCTCAAGGGATGTAAGGTTACCCAGCCAATCCTCAAGAGCCTCCACTCCATCGAATTTATGTATTTTCAAATATGTTAGAGAAGTGAAGTCTTGAATTTGTTGAGGCAGAGACTTGAGCTTGGGCCGCCCGGTCAACTCTAACATTTTAAGTTGTGATGATCCAAGATGGAAATCAGGAAAGGAATCGAGCTCCTCCCAGAACGCACCAAGTTCCAATGTCTTCAAGCTGGAGCAGCAGTGTAGCCCTGTGGACAGATATTTTAATTTCCCACAATTAACAATCACCAACTTAGAGAGAGATGTGAGGTTGTCTAAACTTGGAAGACTCTCTAAATTGGGGGCATTTCTTATTTCCAACTCAGAGAGAGATGTGAGGATATCTAAACTTGGAAGACTCTCTAAATTAGGGGCATTTCTTATTTCCAACTCAACAAGAGAGATTGTGGCCATTGTGGGCTACTACCAAATTTTCTAATCTCTCACAAGATTCAATGTTGAATATACGGACGGATGTGAAGAGGTTTAAATCTGGAATAGATTGTAGACCACTACAACCTTTTATATTCAGCAACTTCACATTGATGGGCCCACTGCTCACCAAACTTTCTAATCTATCACAAGATTCAATATTGAATATACGGGCGGATGTGAAGAGGTTTAAATCTGGAATAGATTGTAGACCGCTACAACCTGTTATATTCAGCAACTCCACATTGATGGGCCCACTGCTCACCAAACTTTCTAATCTATCACAAGATTCAATGTTGAATATACGGACGAATGTGAAGAGGTTTAAATCTGGAATAGATTGTAGACCACTACAACCTGTTATATTCAGCACCTCTACAACATTGACGGGCCCACTGCTCACCAAACTTTCTAATCTCTCACAAGATTCAATGTTGAATTTACGGAGGGATGTGAAGAGGTTTAAATTTGGAATAGATTGTAGACCATTACAACCTGTTATACTCAGCAACTCCACAACATTGACGGGCCCACTGCTCACCAAACTTTCTAATCTATCACAAGATTCAATGCTCAAGTCACGGAGGGATGTGAAGAGGTTTAAATCTGGAATAGATTGTAGACCACTACATCCTTGAATCCAAACAACTGTAAGATGAGGTAGATGGACGAGTGTTGGGACTTTTTCACATCTATTGCAACCCTTAAGCTCAATATGCTTTAAATTGTCAAGCTTAATCATCCATGATGGAAATTTAGTACCCATGAAATATTGAATCTCTAGCCTTTGCAACTCAGAATGCGGGTGGAGGCCTTCTAGTACATCCTCATCATTATTATTGTTGGTTATTGACCTATTTTCTGACCATTCAAATAACAAGCGGCGTACGTTTTTTTTCTCCTCTAATTTAGCTTTACTTGCCTCATCTCCATTCCTTACGTCTTCCAAATTACAAATAATCAATTTACCCTTCAATTGATTCAAGGCAGCCAGCTCCTTAATTTCCCTACCCATCACCTCATAAGGTAATGTTCGGAGGAGCGTTAATCTCCCTAATACTCCAGCTGGAAATTTCACTCCCTCATCACAATAAACATGTCTCAAGTTGATCAAGTTTTGCACGTCTTTTGGAAATTCTTGAAGGTCGCAGTTTGTTGCTCTTAATGTCTGTAGGTTATATAGCTTGCCAACAGAATTTGGAAGTCTCTTGATTTTTGTAAAGGAAATGTTAAGATATCTCAAGTGTTTCAGCTTTCCGATTGAACTTGGAAGCTCCTCAATACATGCCCCACATAATTTCAAGACACGTAAAGCTTTAAACCATGGCAACATGTTTCCAAGTAGTGCTTCAGCATTCGAAAACAGTGATCTCAATTTCCCACTACTTCCTTCTGGAATTCTTTCTATAATGGGAGTTGCAACATCTTCATTCTTGTGGAAGTCTCGCATCATGCTTTCAGTTTCGGATACATGTTCTGCAAGATCGTGCACTAGATCGTGCATCTTGCATTCAGTAACAATGCCATCATCATCCACTGTAGCATTTTGAAATAAGGAGCTTTGGAATAGAATATCAAAATATTCATTACCTATATCCTCCATCTCTAGATTATTTTTTTCAGGAGAAGGATGGAGGAATCCTTGAGCCATCCAAAGTTGAATCAAATCATCTTGTTCCATCACGTCATCTTTGATGAACGCTAAGCAATATGAAAAACATTGCTTCAGTGCTGGTGATTCCAAATTATCGAAACTCAACTTCAAGACTGACATGATTCTATCTTCTGTCTTTGGTAAGTCCCATATTCTGTTGTCTTTGACTTCAGACCATTCAGTAGGAGTCTTTTTAGAGCACAAAATACCTCCCAAAACCTGGTAATGGATTAGAGAATTTCTATAAAATAATTAGTAGATAAAATAATTAGCAATTTAAAGAAGAGTCATTCAGAATGTCTTCTGGAACCTCTTTGTTAATTTCTATTTAATAAAGTGATTGTGAAGAAAGAGATTGTGGAGAATGGGCATGATGACATGATGACATGAAACTAAAAGAGAAATCGACAATCTTCTCTATCTTCCTTCAGACCTTGGTATTTCTTTCTACATGAAAATTCATCAATGCAATTCAAAATAACCCATTCATGATATGATCCCTAAATGCCAAGAACTCATCCAACAATCTATAAAATTATAAATAAATAAAAATGCCTGCTGTAAGCAATGCTTGTATAAATATATATATATGTATGTATAATATATAGTATGTGTACCTTTGCCATCAATGGTAGACCTTCACAATTTTTAGCAATTTCCCGTCCAATTCTCTCTAAACCAAGAGGTATATCAGAATTACCATCTGAGCAAGCTGCATGTTTCAATATGGACCAGCATTCATCCGTTGATAGAATTTCCAATTCAGGCCGCGGAAGTGTTTCTGTGAGTGATGCAACTATGCCACTGCGGGTAGTGACAATAATTTTGCTTCCTGGAGCAGAATTCAACTATGACAAATAGCTCATCAAACTTTCCCATTTCTCCGAATCTTCATTCCAAACATCATCAAGTACCAGCAAGTATCTCTTCTCTCTCAACTCTTCTTCAAGGTATTTAAGCAGTGCATCTTGATTTTCTCTTACAGTGGCTTTTGATGGGTTAAGAGATTCTAACATGCAGATCAAAATCATATTGATGTTAAAAGGATCAGATACACACACCCATATCCTTTTTGAAAAATAGTTTATTACTGAATTATCGTTGTACACTGACTTGGCCAAAGTTGTCTTTCCCAGCCCTGCCATTCCCACAATGGCCATAACAGATAGATTTTCTTGATTATTGTTGGAGTTGGTCAAAGTTGTGACTAGATCTGACACGACCTCCTCCCTTCCAACAATGATTCCATCTTTTTCAGGGAGTGAGTCGGTTTGTATCCGTCCTCTAATTCCTCGAGGGGCTGCATCTGTTTTCTTGGAAACTAGTCCAATGATAGGAGCCTCACTCTTGAGATTCACCAAGGATGCATTGATCTTCTGAATTTTATGTGCAATTTTAAGGCGGAATGCAACCGGATTGGAGAGTGAAAAGAAGTTGAGTACCTTTTTCTTCATATGATTTCGGATTTCTAATTTGCGCCGGAGAAGTTCATAGTTGAATTCATCCAAGACATCATCTGCATCTTGAGCTAGACGTTTAAGCTTCGCCACCCAATCTTCTACGGACTTGCTCCGACCTTGTGGCCCCTGGGCAACGTCGGCTAAGTAACCTTCAATGGTGGACAGTGTTTTGTGAAGCTTGTTTAGTTCAGCTTTGAATCCCCAGGCAAGACTGATTTCTTGAGCGGCAAGGGAAGTCAGCTTCGTCAGTATTCCCTCGGTCGCAAAAGTAAGCACAGATTCTACAGCCATATCTTAGTTTCTTGTGTAACCCTGCGCAAGACAAACAGCAGATCATATTAATGCTAGTTAATTATTATTAGTTAATTAATTAAGAAACGAGAAGAAGGGACTGAAGATGGATGAAGACGCACAGGCACAAAGTTTCTGTCGTAGGTAGAAGGAAATGATGAACACAGCAATAGCACGCAGAGTTTGTTGGAATTTTGATTCAACGTATGAACGCTCACCCACTTTAGCTATTATTCTTAAAGCAATTGAATGCAAATGAAGAAAAACTCTCCAGCTCTCTTTATACTTTCCACTTTCCTTTCAAGCTCCAAGCAACAATATTATTCGCAGCTCTCTCTGTTGTTGTTACTGCTATCCTTGTCTTTCGTATCTTTCGTTTTGTCTCGGTGCTTTTCTTTGTCTTTCTGTTAACCATCGCTTGGAAGTTGGATGGATGCCTTGCTTACTGTCCACCTTAACATTATTCGTTTCTGACAAAAAAAAAAGAAAAGAAAAAACCTTAATATTCTTTGCTCCCTCTTCTCTCCGTCCTTTTCTTAACATTATGAAAACTTATGGAATAAGGATACACTAGCCTGGTGTACGGCCTAGCAGTTATGCGACACGTGGAATTATTTATTTTTTAGTTTAAAAATGTAGTAATCTGACCGCGAGTCTTTAACTCTGTCAGCATTAACTCTCCTTTAAACTTGTCTTCGCATTTTTAATTAATCAATTTTTCTGACAATTTAACGCTTATACCGTCAAAGACAGCAGCCATCTGTTTTTTTTTTTTTTTTTTCTCACCCTACCCACTTATGCCGTCAGGGACACGTCTTTACTTCTTTTTTCTAGCAGGAGCAGCTATACTTTTTTAGTTTATTGGATTATTATATCGTATACATACATTATAACTATTGCTTCTTTGAACATTGCTTGTGTATGTATATATATAAGTCTCACATAATGTGATACACCATTTCAGAGTTCTAATGACATAAGGCAACAAGAATGCCTTCTCCCTTGAAATAACCAACCAAATTTTGTCAACATGCATTACTCCTTTGGATCCTCATTTTGCTTAAAACCAGTGGAAAAGAAATCCTGCACAATGTTTTGAAAGGCGAGGCGCTAAGGTGAGGCATTTTATGCCTTATGAGGCGAGGCGTAAGCCTCAAAGCGTTGAAGCCTAAACCTTTCAGGTATTGAGTTATTATAATTACAAAAATATAAAACAACTATTGAATGTATTGAATGCCACTCTAGAATATAAATTAACCATCAAACTTGTTTTTTCAAAATTTCTCTTACTATTCCTGAATTTTTTTACCATATATCCTTTTGGTTATATTATCTCTCTAAGTCTAGTGCCTTTCTACCTAGTTCGAATAGACAAAAGAGTAGATTATGGAGGTGATTGAACTGATGGTGGAAGGTGGGAGGTAGTTTCTGTTGGTCTGTTTAGGAACTTTGGTTTTTGGGAGAGGGAAGGAATAAATGGGTAAACTGGTTTCTTTTGAACAAAACGGTGTGTGTCTAATGTTCAAACTTAAAACTAAAACGCCCAGCTTAACTAAAGGGAAACAAAACAACACAGCCCGTGAAACGACGTCGTCTGGAATTAGATTTTTCAAATAAAGGAACTCTGTCTTCCTCGCGAGGCTTGCGCCTTTCACAGCGCATCTTCGTTTAGCAGCCGCCTCGACTTCAAGGCGTACACCTTTCATGACATTCGCTAAACTGAGCTGCGCCTGAGGCGAATCACCGCTGCCTCGCTCCGAAGCGCACCTCAACATAACTTAAGAGTCTAAGACTAAGACTCAGTTCTTAAAAAGCAAAACAAAAGTTGTCTAAGACTTCAACAATGAACTCGTTTAATACCTGATTCAAATGTGCCAAATAATTTTGATCCTGAAACATGTTGGGGAAGGAAACATTTGGTTAAATAAATGACCAACTAAAATTGGAATCCTGAAAGAAAACAATTATGCAAATAAACAAATAATTGAAATTGCATAGGCACAGAGCTTCTCTCGTAGGTAGAAGGAGATGATGAATGCAGATTTGCAAAACAAGACAGTAATAGCACGCAGAGACTGGCAGAGGAGCTATATAGCTTCCTTAACTCTCAGGACAGGAGGAGACTTTAAAGTCTTGCTGGGCTCTACCATTTTGATATTTGTGGACACATGCATTTCTTGTAGAATAATGGCTAGAGGTTAGAGAAGAATAAGAAGTAGAATAGGAAGAATACCCCAAGATGAGTATTCTAGTTGTATTGGATTTCTTTTATATGCTATACAGTTGACTTTGTATATGAATATAAACAAGAAATATTATACAAACGGTAAAACATAAAATAGGCAGTTCCAAGATTATAGGGATTGATTGAGATAATGAAGTAATCACACTTGAATGGCTACAGACTGCCGTGACTTGTGGGGAGTGTCTTGCATATTCATTGGCTGGTGGGTAGGATGCTCTTCACTCCCCCTCAAGCGAAAGGGAACAAAGTGGAGGTTGAGCTTGGTAGCCAGTTGAGTAAACCGTTCGTGAGACAAGCTTTTGGTGAAGAGATCGGCAAGTTGAGAGGAAGAGGGAACATAGTGTGTCTGAAGAACACCTTGGGAAATTAACTCGCAAACAAAATGATAGTCGATTTCAATATGGTGGGTATGAGCATGGAAGACCAGATTCGCTGCCATGTGGAGGGTGGATATGTTGTCGACGAAGATACATGGATGGGAACGAAGAGGAATACCCAACTCACGAAACAAGTAGCCAAACCAACGAAGCTCAGCTGCAGTGGTAGCAAGTGCGCAATACTTGGCTTCAGAGCTTGAGCGGGATACGGTGGATTGTTTCTTAGCAGTCCAAGTGAGAAGATTAGGACCAAAGAAAACACATGCCCTAATAATAGAGCGGCGGTCATCAATGGAACCGGCCTAGTTAGCATCGGAGAAGGCTCACAAAGTGAGGTCAGCAGAAGCACGAAAGAGAAGGCCATGCTCAAGAGTGCCTTTAATGTAGAGATAGATCCTTTTAACTAGGGATGGCAACGGGTCAGGTAGGGGCCGGGTATGACAATACCAACCCCGTCCCCGCTCTCCATCCCCTCCCCCGTCTCCAAACCCATCCATATTTAATAGTTTTCGGGGAATCCCCGTCCCCGTCCCCGTTGGGGGACTATCCCCTATACCCACCTCGAATCCCTTTTTTTTTTTTTTTTCATAAAAAAAATTTATCATACATTTTAACATTAAGTTTCATATTAATTTATCATTCAACACATCCAAATTAATTATAAAGTTCAACTCAACTATTCAAAATCACTTCAATATGAAATTCCAAAGAAGATTAGGAAGAATTAGGAGAGGGAGGTTAACTCAAGGTTAAACATAAATATTATAATTATATATTTATTTATTTATTTAAATATAAACATATATATTTTCGGGTCGGGTTTGAGGATGGGGACACCAACACCATCCCCTCCCCATACTCGCCGAGGATTTTTCAAGTTCAGGGATCCCCATACCTTATACCCATTTGGCCTAGAAATCTCCCCCCGTTAGGGTTGGGGACCCGATGGGGATCCACCACTGCGGGGATTTTTGCCATCCCTACTTTTAACAGGCTGTAGGTGAGTGGAACACGGTACAATGTGGGGTCAGAGATCGGATCACCATCATTTGCAAAGAGTTTGGTGGAGAAGAGCAGTGGTGTGTGACTTGGTTTACATGTTGCCATATTAAATTTGGTGAGGAGGTTAGATGCATAATGAGCTTGAGAGATTGATAGACAGCCATTGGTGCGACAAACTCGCTTGCCAAGAAAAAAATTGAGCTCTCCCAGCCCGCGACTATCAAAGATTGAACATAAGTCATCAATGAATTTGTTAACTGCAGAAAGAGTACTACCTGTGACAATTAAGTCATCAACATACACAAGGACATAAAGAGAATGAGAGGTTGTATGACGAATAAAAAGTGAAGCATCATATTGACAATGGAAGAATCCTTGATGAATTAGAAAAGAATGGAGTCTATGAAACCATGCACGGGGGGACTGTTTGAGGCCATAAAGTGCCTTGTGGAGTTTGCAGACATATTTGGAGCAAAGAGGGTCAGCAAAACCTAGAGGCTGCTTCATATAAACCTCCTCCTATAAGATACCATTTAAAAAGGCATTACGAACATCAAGTTGTTGCAAGAGCCAATTCCTGGAAAGTGCAATAGTTAAGATAGTATGAATAGTAACTGGCTTGACAACATGACTCAATGTTTCATCATAGTCAAGGCCCTCCACTTGATTAAAGCCCTTGGCAACTAAGCATGCCTTGTGTCTTTCAATAGTGCCATCGGATTTTATCTTTCATTTTGAAAACCCATTTACAGCCCACGATGTTCATGGTTGGTGTAGAAGGAACGAGGGACCAAGTTTGGTTCTTTATAAGGGTCGTATATTCTTCTTGCATCACTGCCTGCCAGTGAGGGAATTTAGAGGCTTGACTATAACTTGTAGGCTCAATTGAGAGAGGATCCATAAGAGTTGCAGTTAAGGCATGGGGAGAGGATGGCGTGTGGAGCCGTAGACAAGATTATGAAGGCTGCGGAACCCACGTGGTGGTGGTGGTGTAGTGGCTGGAGTTGTAGGAGATGACTCGATTTCTATTCAAGGAGGGGAAGTGTTGGCAGATTGATGAAGATGTTGGTTGGATGGAGATGAAGACAGAGTAGAGAGAGGCAGAGGTGTTGCTGGTGGTGAGAGCTAGTTGTCCGTAGCAAGATTAGAAGGAGGTGGAGTAGTTGGAGGACCTAGAGATAAAGGAACATGAGGAGGCTCCAATAATGTGGGTGCAAGAGGTACTGACCTGTGATCATTATGTTAAGAAAAATCTGTAAATGTCTTATACTATAGGATCACTATATTAATACACAACTATAAAAATGTAGACAGTAACAAAATATGCAAAACTGTATAAACGTGGCAGATATAAATTAAGTATAGAACACTGACTTTTATTGAAGATAGAGGTTTGCGTATTCGCAATATCCTAAAGACAGAGTTTCGCCTCTTCTCAGTGCTTGAAGTTCTATAGGTGTCTATCTCCCAGGATTAACTGCTGCTAAAAAAAATCCGAAAAATAAAAATAAAAATAAT